ACCCACAACCCTCACACACTCACCTACAACACTCGCCCACAGCCTCGCCTGCAACACTCACTTACAACACTCACCTACAACAAACAACAATCCTACGAATGCCCACACGACACTTCCCCACATAAGTCACCCCCCAATACCACACCCCTGATGCTTCCCACCTCTAACATATTCTCAGACTGCCCCACACCACACACACACGCCCATACAACCTCCCCCCACTTCACACCACCACACAACACCACACCCCACACACCACCAACCCCCCTGACACCACACCCCACACACACCACCCCACACACCGCCACACACCTGCCCCCACACACCCACATCCACACCACCACGTTCCCAACACCACCACACCCCACACCTTCACCCCACCCACCACCACACCCCAACACCTTCACCCCAGTTCCACCTCCACACCACCACATTCCCGCACACCACACCCCCACACCCCACCCCAACACACTTCACACCCCAGACACCACCACACTCCACACCACCACCCACCACACTTACACACCACCACACCCCACACACCACCTGACCCACACACACCACCCCACACCCCACACCCCCACACACCCACACACACCCACACCCCCACACCACCCCACACACTTTACACACCCACCTGCACCCTCACACCACCACCCCACACACCCCACCACCACACCCACACACCACCACACCCACACACCACCACACCCCACACACCCCACCACACACCCCACACACCTTCACACCCCACACATCACCCACCACACCCACACATCCACACCCCACACACTCTCCCACACCCCACGCACACCCCCACACACACCCACACCCACCACATTCCCACACACCACATCCCCTACATTCCCAACACACCACCACATTCACACCACATCCACCACACCCCCACACCACCACACCCCAGCACCCCACACACCACCACACCCCACACACCACTTCCCACACACCACCATTCCCAACCACACCACCACGCTCCCCTACACACCACCACACACCCCACACTCACACCACTTCACACCCCACACACCACACCCCCACACCACACACCACCAGCACGCCCCGCCACCCATCCCACACACCACGCCCTCCACGCAACCGCCATCCCCCCACGCACCACCATCACCCACCAACATCACCGTTCTGCCACACCCCACCACATCCCCACCTACGTCCACACGCCCCACACTCACCACCACACCACTGCCACCCCACCACCCCCACGCACCCCACACCCCACCACCACACCCCACACCACCCACCACCACACCCACTTCACACATTCCACCACGCCCCCACACCCCCACACCACACACCACCGTACCTGCATCTACCACCCCCACACCTCACCCCACACCCACACCCCCACACCACTACCACCACACACCACCACACGCCACCACACCCCCACACCACCACACCCCACCACACACCACACCACCACACACTTCCCACCCACACACACCACCACACCCCCACACACCTCCACCCACACTACACCACCACACCCCCACATCACCATTTCTTTTCACCCCACCCCCGACCACCTGACCACCGACCACCCTCCCACACCACCCACCCACACACCACCACCCCCACACCCACCCCACACACACCCCTACACACACATCACCCCCCTTCACCCCCGACACACATACCCACACCATCACCTCCAATACCCCCCACACCCTCACATCCACACCCCACCTCCCACACAGTACACCTCCACAAACCCCCACACAGGCACACCACACACACCCCCCACACCCACCCCCGCCATACACACCCACTCACTCGTGATGTTTCGTTCCCTCTTGTCGTCTCTTGTCCTCACAGCCCTAAAAGGAGTGAAGTTTTAATCCCGCCATTTCTGCCCGCCTGTTGGTTAGCCCCGCCCACTTTCAATGCTGGCCGCCAGTAGCTGGCCGCCTAGGCCCCGCCCAGGGTGCGCGTGGCGCCAGAGGCAGGGCTTGCCATCAGTGTTGAGTATTGCCTGACCGTCAACCGCAACACAGTCGTTGTAAAGTGCGTGTGTCTGTCGCACCTCGGCGAGAACCGTCAAAAACCGTAGTGGAGTCGGTGTTAACTACCCGCTGAAGTGAGAGTCGTGAAAACGAAGGTAGAGTGTTGTCTAGTAGGTGTGCTTACTAGGCAACGTGATCCAGGCTTCTTGTTGATGCCAGTACCAGTCATTCTGTAGTCCACCGCCACCAGGCGACAGGCGAACTTAATGAAACTTTCTCTCGAGGTGACTCTCTCTCTCTCTCTCTCTCTCTCTCTCTCTCTCTCTCCATCACCGCTTTCATCATTACCATTACCACTACCATCATCATTACCATCATCACTACCATCATCATTACCATCACCACTACCATCATCATTACATCACCACCACTACTACCATCATCACCACCACTACTACCATCATCACCACCACTACTGCCATCACCACCACCACTGCTGCCATACCGCCACTGCCCACCTGCATCACCGCCACACTGCCATCACCCACCACTGCTACTGCCGTCACCCACCACTACTGCCATCACCACCACCACCTGCTACTACCATCACCACCACTACTGCCATCATCACCACAACAACTACCATGCACACCACCATAACCACCACTACTACCATCACCATGCCCAGCTGCTATCATCACCATCACGCCATCACCAACTACTGCCATCACAGCTACTACCATCTACCAATGCCACAACTACTGCCATCACCACCACCACCGCAATGCTGCCATCACCACCACAACAACTACTGCATCACTGCCACCACTACTGCATCACCACCTCCACCACCAGTTCTGCAGTCACCACCACCACCACCAGCTACCATCACCCACCACAACCATCACCACCACCACTGCCATCACCACCACCACAACTACTAATGCCACCACCACGACTACTAACACCACCACCACAGCTACTACCACCACCACAGCTACTATCACCACCACAGCTACCACCACAACAACTACCACCATGACCAGTGCCATCACCTTCACCACCACCACCACAATCCTGTATCACCACCACCACAACTACTGCCATCACCCACCACGCTGCATCACCACCACCACAATACTACTATCACCACCACCACCGCAACTACTACCACCACCATGCATCACCACCATAACTACTACGCGCCCACAACTACTGCCACCACCACCACAACTACCACCACCACCACCACCACAACTACTGCAATCACCACTACCACAACTACTGCCACCACTTCCGCCACCACAGCTACTACCACTACCACCACAACTACCACAGCTAGTTGCCATCACCACTGCCACTGCCACTACCACCTGACTACCACCACCACCACGCATCTGCCACCGCACCACCACTCACCACCACTACTGCCACCACAGCTAATTGCAATCACCACTGCCACCGACTACTACTGCCACCACCACACCACCACCACAGCTGCTGCCATCACCACCACCACGCTACTACCAACACCACCACCACCCTATCACCATCATCACCACAACTAATTGCCATCATGCCATCACTACCATCACCACCACCACCACCACAACTACTACCATCACCACCACCATAACTACTACCAACACCACCACCACCACAGCTACTGCCACCAACACCACCACAACTGATTGCCATCGCCACACCACTGCATCACACCACCACTACCATCACCACCACCACCACCAGCTACCATCACCACCACCACCACAACTACCACCACCACAACTACTGCCATCACCACCACCACCACCACCACCACCCACCACCACCACACCGCCACACCACCACAACTACCACCACCACCACAGCTAGTGCCATCATACCACCACTACATCACCACCACCACCACCACTGCCACCACCACTACCACCACCACAACTAGTGCCATCATACCACCACTACCATCACCACACCACCTCACTACTGCATCACCACCACCATCTACCACCACCACCACAACTACCACCACCACCACCACCACCACAACTACCACCACACCACCACCACCACCACCACAACCACCACCCCACCACCACCACCACAAATTGCCATCGCCACACCACTACCATCATCACCACAACTAGTACCATCCACCACCACTACCATCACCACCACCACCACAGCTACTGCCAACACCACCACCACCACCACAACTACTATCAGCACCACCACCACCACCACACCCTACACCAGCACCACCACCACCCAACTACTACCACCACCACCACCACTTCTGCCACCACCACCACCACCACCACAACTACTGCCACCACCACCACCACCACCACCACCACCACCACCGCCTGCCTACCACCACCACCACCACCAGCTACTACCATCACCACAACTACCCACCCACCACAAATGCCACCACCACCACCACCTACCACCACCACCTACTACTACCACCACCACCACAACCACCACCACCACCACCACAGCCTAGCCACCACCACCACCACCACAACTACCACCACCACAGCTACCACCACCACCACCCTACCACCACCACCACCAGTGCCATCATACCACCACTGCATCACCACCACAATAGTTCCATCCCCCACCACCACCATCACCACCACCATGTGCCATCCTACCAGCACCACCACCACCACAACCACCACCACCACCACCACAACTACCAGCACCACCACCACCACCCCTGCCACCACCACCATCTCATCTTCTACCACCACCACCTCTCCACCACCTCACCACCACAACTACTACCATCACCCCCACCACAACTATACCATCACCACAATTTTTCGCATTATAGACATTTCAACTTTTTGGTGTTCAGGACCAAACTAGACTCTACCACTTATAAATACTACTGTAAATAAGTGTCGTTTAAGTGTCCCCTCAGTGTTAGTTCAATTTTAAGTGAAAAAAGTAATCCACCAAATAATTCGTAATATTTGTGTTATTTTATCTGATAAGTTGCGACAAACCAATCAAATTTGATGAATTTCTTCCCCACAAATATTTCTCATTGGTTAATCTATCGTCAGCTAAAGGACAGAGGAAGAAAGCTTAACGTCTATTGGTCGCCTGGTAAGACGTGACATCACAGACCGCAGCTAACCAATAGGAAGAACGGAACTAATCTACGGTAATGTTTACTATTGATCTTTAGTTCCATTCGTACTATAATGAAAAAAAAATTACTCATTGTTATAATTTTGCCCTTTTATAAAATCTCTCAATGGAAGGAATATTATTTATTATTTTTTTTTACTTATTATGGCCAAATTTTCTCTCTAACGAAAGCTTCTTAAGAAAGACATTGAAGTGTGTACAGTGAAATACGTGTGGTGGACGTCATGGCCTGCCTCTGCCTGCTGTGTGTCAGAAGTATTCGTAAAACAAAATTAGTAGAAAATGTATGTAGTATGTTATTTGATATTTTGTGTGTGTGTATATTATGTGTATAGTATGTAGGTAGTTGTATGTGTGTTGTAGTATATGTGTTCATGTGTGTGGTTGTATTATTTTAATAATTGTGGTTGTTTGTGTGAAGGAATTTAGTTTATATTGTTATGAGTATTGGTAGAATGTGTAAATATATAATTGTGGTGGTTACATTATTTAATTTTTGTGTGTGGTATGTATTGTTATGTGTGCTATCTGTTATTGTGTTGTATATATAACCTGTTGTTTTGTGATGTTGCATGTAGTATATGTATGTGTATTTGTATATATGTGTGTTATATTATTGTATTAGTTTATGATGGTTTATGTATGTTGCTGTTTATATATATAGTTGTAGTTGGTTGGTTGTTTTATATGTATATGTTTTGTGTGTGTAGGTATGTGTGTGTGTGTGTGTGAAATATATATGCTTACTATTGAGTATAAAGACGGTCGAGTGCAATATAGTGATAAATTATTGCCCCCCAAAAATTATGATATGCGTAGTATTGTATGAGATATTATTGCAAACTTAGTAAACAGGATAAACAATAAACAATTAGTCGTGAGTGTAGAAGTGTGAGAAGTGGCAATCATTTACCAGTCGCTCAAGAATATATTACCAAGTCCTGGAGCGGCGGACGGTAAACCTCTCCAGCGGACTAAACACCTATCTTTATTTATTCTCTCTATGCTTAGTTTATATATAATTGTTATATTTTTTTATGATTGTGGTATAAATTGAGAATTCTTATATATTTTCTTTAAGGTAAGGATGAATAAGGTGGGGGAATATATCCGTGGTTGGTAATAAAAGTTAGCGCTCGGTTGCTGGAAGACGCCTCCCTGCCTCCCTGCCTCCCGCTTATACATGTTCCGTCTCCTGCACGCGCCTCTGTCCAGTCGCTTCCATACAGTATATCCGTCTCAGCCTATTTCCGTTTTACTTATTTTCTCTCATTCTCACTTTTATTTATACATGTTATCTATTTTTCTATACATTTTTATACACTAGAGCATTTTAGCGTCGAATAATAACGATAGAATTAATGTTTCCTACAGTTAGTCATTTCCTTCCCTGTTTTTCTCATTCTCTCATAATTATCTGTTTTCTCTTGTTGCTATAAATTATAAACATTGATATAAATGGTAGTTTTTAACAATAACTTTGTAATGTATAGTATAGTGCCGATTTTACCATATAAGGATTGGCCGATTTTTACCATATAAGGATTGGCCGATTTTTACCCTAAGGTGGCATTTTTACCATATAAGATGGCCGATTTTACCTAAAGTCCATTTATATAAGGCCGATTTTTTACCATATAAGGATGGCCGATTTTTACCTATAAGGATGGCGATTTTTTTACCATATTAGGATGGCCATTTTTACCTAAGGTGGCCATTTTTACCATATAAGGAGACATTTTTTTACCTATAAGGAGACGATTTTTCATATAAGGTAGCCGATTTTTTACCCTATAAGTGAGCATTTTTACCATATTAGGATTGGCCGATTTTTTACCTATAAGGTTGACGATTTTTACCATATAAGGGGGACATTTTTTTCCCTGAAATTGGCCGATTTTTACCATATTAGGATATCTCTGTTAACGGTTTCTGGCACGTATGAAATTGACCTAAGTGTCTGTTAACGGTTGTCCTGGCTTTGTGCGTTAGTTGTCTGTTAACGGTTCTTTTAGCGTTAGAAATTAAGTTACTTGTCTGTTAACGGTTTTGTCTGTGTATTTAAATCTGATCTTGTCTGTTAATTGGTATTTTATTCAACAAAGTAATATTTTTCTATCATGCTTCACTAACACATCTTGTAGAATAAATAAATAATGTGGTATTATATCGCGAAAATATATTATTATACTTTCGCGATATCATTAAAGCCCACAAAATATTGAAAGGTCGTTTTTAATCGATAAATAATTTGGCTTGATTCCCTTGTTAATTAAGACAGACTAATGACGAGTTAATTTATACCTCACAAGAGATTATTATTATTAGGTAGAATAATTAAATGTTAAGATTATTGTAAATTAGTAAAGATATAATATATATGAATAAGCCACCGTCTGTCTGTGAAACAACAACAAACTCCCCAGGGTGGAAACACGGTATGAGGATAACACAGCTGTAATTTGAGACAGTTAGGTTTTACAGCTGTACTTAATTATGACCAAGAACAACAACAGACCTACACTGGGTACTGTTACAGCAACAGACCTACACTGGGTACTGTTACAACAACAGACGTACACTGGGTACTGTTACAACAACAGACGTACACTGGGTACTGTTACAGCAACAGACGTACACTGGAACTGTTACAACAACAGACGTACACTGGGTACTGTTACAGCAACAGACATACACTGGGTACTGTTACAGCAACAGACATACACTGGGTACTGTTACAGCAACAGACGTACACTGGTACTGTTACGAACAGACGTACACTGGGTACTGTTACAGCAACAGACGTCACTGGTACTGTTACAGCAACAGACACGCGGTACTGGAACAGACGTACACTGGTACTGTTACAACAACAGACACAGGTACTGTTACGCAACAGACATACACTGGGTACTGTTACAGCAACAGACGTACACTGGGTACTGTTGCAACAGACGTACACTGGGTACTGTTACAGCAACAAAAGTACACTGGGAACTGTTACAACAACAGAAGTACACTGGGTACTGTTACAACAACAGACGTACACTGGGTACTGTTACAGCAACAGACCTACACTGGGTACTGTTACAACAACAGACGTACACTGGGTACTGTTACAGCAACAGACGTACACTGGGTACTGTTACAGCAACAGAAGTACACTGAACTGTTACAGCAACAGACGTACACTGGGTACTGTTACAGCGACAGACGTACACTGGGTACTGTTACAGCAACAGACCTACACTGGGTACTGTTACAACAACAGACGTACACTGTTACTGTTACAGCAACAAACGTACACTGGGTACTGTTACAACAACAGACGTACACTGGTACTGTTACAGCAACAGACGTACACTGGGTACTGTTACAACAACGAAGTACTGGGTACTGTTACAGCAACAGACCTACATTGGGTACTGTTACAGCAACAAAGTACACTGGGAACTGTTACAGCAACAGACGTACACTGGGTACTGTTACAGCGACAGACGTACACTGGGCTGTTACAGCAACAGACCTACACTGGGTACTGTTACAGCAACAGACGTACACTGGGTACTGTTACAGTAACAGACGTACACTGGGAACTGTTACAGCAACAGACGTGCAGACTGTTACAACAACAGACGTACACTGGGTACTGTTACAACAACAGACGTACACTGGGTACTGTTACAGTAACAGACGTACACTGGGTACTGTTACAGCAACAGACGTACACGAACTGTTACAACAACAGGCAGCACTGGAACTGTTCAGCAACAAACGTACACTGGGTACTGTTACGGTAACAGGGACATTAGCAACAGACGTACTGGGTACTGTTACAGCAACAGACGTACACTGGGTACTGTTACAGCAACTGACTTACACTGGGTACTGTTGCAACAGACGTACACTGGGTACTGTTACAGCAACAGACGTACACTGGGTACTGTTACAGCAACAAACGTACACTGGGTACTGTTGCAACAGACCTACATTGGTCTGTTACAGCAACAAAAGTACACTGGGAACTGTTACAGCAACAGACGTACACTGGTACTGTTACAGCAACAGACGTACACTGGGTACTGTTACAGCAACAGCCTTACACTGGGTACTGTTACAGCAACAGACCTACACTGGGTACTGTTACAGCAACAGACGTACACTGGGTACTGTTACAGGAACAGACGTACACTGGGTACTGTTACAGCAACAGACCTACACTGGGTACTGTTACAGCAACAGACGTACACTGGGTACTGTTACAACAACAGACGTACACTGGGTACTGTTACAACAACAGACGTACACTGGTACTGTTACAGCAACAAACGTACAATGGGTACTGTTACAGCAACAGACGTACACTGGGTACTGTTACAACAACAGACATACACTGGTACTGTGCAACAGACGTACACTGGGTACTGTTACTACAACAGACCTACACTGGGTACTGTTACAGCAACAGACCTACACTGGGTACTGTTACAGCAACAGACTACACTGGGTACTATTAACAGCAACAGACGTACACTGGGTACTGTTACAGCAACAGACCTACACTGGGTACTGTTACAGCAACAGACCTACACTGGGTACTGTTACAGCAACAGACCCACACTGGGTACTGTTACAGTAACAGACCACTGGGTACTGTTACAGCAACAGACCTACACTGGGTACTGTTACAACAACAGACCTACACTGGGTACTGTTACAGCAACAGACGTACACTCGGTAATGTTACAACAAAATACGACTACTGGGTACTGCACAACAACAGACGTACACTGTACTGTTACAACAATAGACGTACACCGGGTACTGTTACAACAACAGACGTACACTGGGTACTGTTACAGCAACAGACGTACACTGGGTACTGTTACAGCAACAGACGTACACTGGGTACTGTTACAGCAACAGACGTACACTGGTACTGTTACAGCAACAGACGTACACTGGGTACTGTTACAGCAACAGACGTACACTGGGTACTGTTACAGCAACAGA